GTTCTTAGAGAGGAGAAATTAATGTTATAAAAGGGTCATTTTCCCCTAAAATTAAGATAAATTTAATGTCTTGAGGAATTTATTTTACAAGGATAAAGGTCCACGAATAGCTAAGTCAAATCTTAAAAAGGAGAGTAAACAGAAGGGTCTTAAATTACCAGATGCTAAGATCTGATTCAATGTCATCATAACAGTTAAATAGACCAAAAAAATAAAGAACTCAAAGAATCAGAATACAAATCTAACACAAAAGAGCTGGCACCATCAATCAAGGGGAAAGAATGGAGAGTGGAGTAGATGTTAGTGGGAAAACTGACTCTTCATATGGATAAAAGACTGGATCTTCATGAAACATCACACACAGTACAATTAGAAACCTAAAGGTAAAAGATAAATGTAGGTGCCCATCTGTGTGATATGAGTCAAAAAGGCCTTCTTTAAAAAACAACTTGAAAATTATAAACTGTAAAGTGAGGAAGAAAGAAGATGTGAATATACAAAAATGGAGCCCTATAGACAACCAAGGACACTACATATAATTTACACAGATGAAAAGATGAGAATGTAATACAAAAATCTCCAAAACAAAGAAGGGATTAACATTATGATAGAAATAACTTTACAATTCCCCAAAAATGATGTCAACCGATGTGGAAAATGAGCAAAGGACAGGAATAGGCAATAAATGGAAGAACAAACCCAGGGTATGAGCTCAAACTCATTATTTACCAGATAAACACAAACCGAAACCACAATGAGCTATCATTTTATATTTATCAGCTTTATCATTTTGTATTTATCAAAAAATTTGAAGGCTGACAAAAGGAGGACTGGTAAGAATGGAGGCACTGACGTGTAGGGTTGATGGGACTGTGGACTGTCCACTCTGAAGAGGAATATGAGAGCATTTAAACAAAGTCTATGCATAAACCAGTGACTTAACCAGCAGATCCCCCAGTGAATTTAACCCAACAAACTTCTCATGCAGGAGGACATACACAGAGATGTTCAGTGTGGTGTTGATAGTGGTGATGAGGAGTTGGAGTTCATCTCTGCAAAAACAGATAAACCATGGACCAGGTATCAGGCAGAAGTCACAATCTGAAGATGTACAAAGTAACATGGACGGCTCCTAACACAATGGTGAGAGGACAAAGAAAGATCAGAACAGGACATATAACCATTTGTATAGCCTAAACACATAGGCAGGTAAAAGACACAAATTTTCCAAATACGAATTTTAAGAGTATACATTAGAATGGAGGCCTAAAGTTAGAAGAGGAATAAAAGTATGGAAAATAATTTTAAAAGGAACAAGTGAATAAATAAAATGATAGACATGAAAGAATGAATGAATCAAGGGCCCTGGGATCATAATGTACCATCAACAGGGAAGCATGATTAATTCAATCCTCTGTACCTGAGACCAAACAGAGAACAGAGAAGAAAAAAGTAGAGAGAAAAACTCTGCAAAGAAATGTGCATTTATTTATCTATGACCATCCTCTCCCTGACAACTGAGCATTTTAAAAAATACCAGCAGCTGACAAACACTATTTATGGCCCTGTCTTATACCCCACAGACACTGTGCACCCTGAGAGAAACCTCCGCATGAAAGCAACCAATTCAGGAGTGTTCCCATGGGAATTTCCTTTTGCTATCTGCCCCTTCAAAACATTCTAGCTGTGTGATAAAATGTTTGCATTCAAACTCCCACCAAAATATTGTCTAGAAAGTATTTTCTAGAAATGCTAGACATATGGGATTTGGATGCTCAGTATGTGTAATTTTGTGAAAACAACAAATTCCCTACTCTTAAATTGATAATCAGATTGATTTCTTACCTTTTAAAGAGTTCAGAAAGAGGGTTGTAGAACAATGAAGACCCTGGGCAATAATCCACCTGTGGCAGGTGAGCTCTGTGAGTGGGTGTGGAATGAAACTGCAAATTACTACAATGCAGAGATGCTACAAGTATAGCTTGGGAGAGGGGAAAGTAAGAAATTGCATCATGGGGAAGAGGGGGCCTAATGCCAAAAATGTAAGGCACACTAACCCACACCTCTACTATGGTAGTCTGGAAATCCATAATATCCTACAAAAACAAATTCAACTTAATCTACTCTTGAAGAAGTAACCAACTTTTATTCCTTCATCTTTTTCTCTCCTGCTTGCTAGATGATTTAAATGATCACTAGACACACAAGTCAAGTAAATCCCACTCTGTAAATAATAGGATGCCAGAAGCAAAATTCTGCATTATCCAAAATGGAACCTTTGAAATTATTCTTTTATTAGGGAAGGTAGAATATCCTTGTGTTTAATCATACAGCCTTCGGGACCACACAAAGTTTAGACCTAATTGTGTCCCTAGCCTCTATTTCCCCACCTACATGCAGTTCACAAACACCCATCTCACAGAATGTTGCAAGCAGTAAATACGCTAATGTATGTAACACAGCCCTAGTGCCTGACACACAGTAAATGGTCATTTAATGCTATTAATAGCTATAACTATAAAATGTTAATTGTAGATAATGCATACTACACAGAAATATTTAAAGTAGAAGGTCAACGGCTTCCAATAATCCATCCTTCACTGATGATAAATATAATCTTAACTTTTGTCTATCAAATACCTAAGATGAATCAGAATATTTTTTACTATAACACTGTTTTATTGCCTGATTTTTAAAAAATCCAATTAACATACTAGAGCACCATTTTTGTAAATATATTAATATCTCCCTTGTTCTTTTTAAAGGTTGCATACTATCCCATAATTTATTTAACCTGCTCCCTACTGGATATGTATATATTATCTCCAGTTCTTTGCTATTATTACGAATGCTCTAACTTCTCTATTGCACAAATACTGTGCACTTGGGGCAAATTGTTGGGTCAGGGGATAATCCCTTTTCAAAGGTATAGAAATATATCCCCAAAAATGCCTTATAGAAGTGACAGAAAGACTTTGTTTCCATTTTTTTCCTTTTCTCACATTAATTCCATTCCCTTCTTTCCTTTCCCCAACTCCTCTCACTTCCCCTTCCCCTTTGCCCCTTTTCTTCCTATTTTACATTATCTATTATGCCTTTTGATCCTTATTTACACTTTCAGTTTCTCACACTAGAGAAACTATTCGGTATTTACACATGCCTGTCATATTTATTTCACTTAACAGTAACGGCTCAGGCCGGGGATGTAGCTCAGTGGTTCTGCCGCCTGCCTCGCAAGCGCAAGGTCCCGAGTTCAAGACCTGGTACCCACCCCCCCCAAAAAGAGTATTGCCTCAATATGCATCCATTTAGTGGTAAACTCATAAAGCAAATAATGTACAGTAATGAGAGTAAACAAACTACTTGTAGCATTGTGGATGAATCTCAAAAAAAAAAAAAAAAAAAGAAACGACAGAACCAACTGACCAAAAAAATCCTTTCAAACAGAATCTTTCCAACCTATGGGAATGTAAGCAGGGAGAAGCAGGTTCAAAAGTTACAGCAAGGTAAAAAGTTCAGGTGAACTTCTGGCCAGTGGTCTCCATTCACATGCATCTCATTCCCCAAAGCTCTTGGATCCTATGTTATAGAATGAAGCCTTGTGTGGGCATCTGTTTACCCTGCTTGGGATCCATATCTATCATCCTTGTGACTTCCCAGGTTTCCCTCTGGGAAACTACCCTGCTCCACACTCTTGAAACTCAATCAAAGGGAATCATTTTCCCTCGGTGGGCCCAAGCTCGACCAACTTGATGGTAACTTTCCTGGGAATTTAAATCCTCTGACAAGTAAGGCAAAGACAACAAACACACCCTCCAAATATTACCCAGAAGATCCTTTTCCTTGGGTCCTGGCTCCTGGGTCCTAGAGCTGATCTAATTTTAAGACTTTTTCTTCAGCTCTTTACCTTACTATAGTTATGCTGTAGCCTTCTGTATTGCTTCACAATTGCACAGTTGTTCTGCCTAAGTTGGCCACAGTCAACCGCAGATGCTCTAAAACAATCCTACCTGATTTGGGGTGGGGGTTACTTCTTTGTTTCCTTGAATATATGCTCAAAATTATTTTCCTCCTTCAATTCTTGAGGAGACAAAAAATTTTTTTCCAGTCACAAAGGCCTTGTACCCTATCAATAGCAGTGATCCCAAACTAAGAAACATTTTATACTCCATAAAACTCCTGATAAAATTTGTATTTTAGAAGGGAGAGAGGGAGGGAAGGAGGGAGGGAGGAAGAGAGGGAGGCAGACAGGGAGGGAGAGACAGAGACAGAGACAGAGAGAGGCGCTAGCTCATTGTTTTGTCCATCTGGAGAGGCACTGTTCTACTGACTCCTGATATTACTGAAATTCATCCTAGGGGCACCTTTGGCTTTTTTTCCAAGTGGATTTTACAAAGCAAATCTGAGGCCAAGGGACAGGATTTCCTTTGTACTTTAGTAGCAGCTTGGAAGGAATTTTTTTCTCATATGCACCAAGGAGATAATCAGTCCAAACACTTTACCACTAGGAGTTTGATTTTAATCCTATCACCTTTACAAGGTTACAGGTGCTCCTGGAAATTATCATTAACTGGAGGGCTCTGAGCCTGCGGCAGGGAAAATGTGCTATACATTCTAAGAAGGCTGCTCAGGGGCACTTCCACCAAAGAGGAATGGAACTGTATTCACCATCTTGACTCTTTCTACTCCAAGAAAACAGAGTTAGTAAGCAGTATTCTAAGACAGATGTTGCCTTCTCCAGTCCTTCAGGCAGAGTGTGCAGGAGCCTAGGGCAACTTTGGCTTTCCCACAACTAAAGTGCAAGGTGTCATTAAAATCTTCCAGTCATGCTCAGTGACTGGCCCTCTGAAGTCTGTGACAGAAAGACAGGGTGGAAGCATCTCATGCTACACTTAGCAACATGCCAACAGCACCTCCTGGTGGTTAAGCTCTGGAGTAGAAATTTCTCAAAGCCCACTCCCCACTCTGGCTGCACAAAAGTACCCAAGCATCATACTTACTCCCTTCACTCTGACTGTCTTTGTTCGAGTTGTAGACCTGGAAAACAGAAATAAAATAATACTTGAATGCATTTTATACAGGTTAACTGTAGAAAACCATTACCTTCCCCCTTTCCTTAGTTTGTACCATGAGATGGTAGTTAAGACTCTGTAGGTATGAACCATTTCATTAATTACCTACTTTCTAGTATGTGCTTCAGCTATTCTTTTTTTTTTTTTTTTTTGTACTGGGGATCAAACTTGGGACCTTGCGCTTGTGAGGCAGGCGGCAGAACTCTGAGCTAAATCCCCGGCCCGGGCTGTTCTTAAATGTGCATGCAACAATTATGAAACTTTATTGTGCAAAAATCATATTCCATCTTTTTATAAAAGTAAACTTATGTGTATATACAAATAAAAAAGAATTTTGAAATTAGTTACAAACCATTAAGCATTAATGGTGCAAAAGCAAAGTGCTAAGCAATTCACATAATCTACACATCAATTCTGCTTGGTAGGGGCTGTTATTATCACTGTTTTAGAGCTGGAGAATCTGAGGCTTAGAGAAGTTAACTGAAGTCTCACAGCTATAAAGTCAGAGCAAAGGTACACTGTAAACTGTTGAGTCTTAACAGCAGGGAATGACACCAGCCACTTTTTACTCTATATACCTTAGTAAATTTGAATGTTATGAGTAGAATATATTATATTTACAATAAAAACCCTTAAGTGATTTATGGAAACCATAAAAAGATAAAATAGCTCAATACAGTAAAAGGGAAAGCACATCAATATAAAGTAGAGAATAACATGCTGCAAGGGCCAGCAGTCTTTTCTATTATGGGTCAGAGAGTAAAGATTTTAGGCTTTGAGGGGCAAGAGGCAAAACAATATTATACAGGTTCTTATATAATGAGAGAAAATAAATTTTCACAGGATTTTTGACAAAATTCTAAATATAATAATTGAGTATAACTTTTTGAAATACAAGTCTACTAATGAGATGAATTTTTTTTTGTTTTAGAGGGAGGATAGTATTTAGCTCAAATAGGGTTCAAAGTATTCCCTATAATCAGTCAATTGCAAATGTTCATCCATAAGTACCACATATAGCTCATGAACCATACAGAAGCAAGTGGGGGCTGGATTTGTTCTGTAGGCCATAGTTTGCCTATCCCTGATATCCTGTCACTATCAAGTAAGATGAAACTTCTGCTTAAGAAAGGAAAAAAAATAGTGCCAAATCCTTCTTTGGTAGTTAAGATTCTGTAGGTATCGAAACACATAGAGCAGTGATGGCGAATATTTTAGCAGTTAAAATGATACAAACAGCCCACTGAGGCACACATGCCATAGGTTCCCCACTAGTGGCACAGAGTGAAGGTGTAGTCACAACTCAAGTATCTAGCTATCTATCCACCCGAAGTGATTCTGATGGTCACTCCCAGCTGAAAGCCATTTAACCTCTAAAGGAACCAAGTGAAGTACCTCTGAAAAGAGACCCATTAAGCCTGAAAAGACTTTTTCCCTACTAAGAAATATGGATGGAAATGACTGGTCAGGAGCTAGGCAATGGCTCAACTCTGCTCCCAGCTGGCTCATGTCACTGGGTAAGACTCCTACATTCCCTCAGCCTTTACTGCCTACTCTTTCTATAAACTGAAGTAGTTCCCAGGAAGGTCTTTGAATTCTCAAACTCTAAATAGAGAAAAAAACTATTTATTAATATATTCTTCTCTTTCTAAAGTAGCTGAAGCTGTATTCACTGAAGGTCAGAAGGATGAGGATTAAAGAAATGGGTTTTTATCTTAAGAAGGATATTCTGATGAATAAATAGGCATTAGAGCACACACTTAAAGTTCTAAAGACTTTGATTCTGGCCTGGATTTCACCATTGGTCACTTCACTTGGCTGAGCTCTAATTTCTTCATCTACAAAAGGGAGGTGATGATAGTTATTCTGCCTACCTCTCCCAGGGCTACTGTGAGCATCAAACAAGACCATGAAAGAGAAATATATGGAAACACTACAAAACAAATGCAGTGCTCTGAGCTGTACTCATTGGAAAAGAATTGCTTAACCATCATGGAATTTGAGAAAAGAGCAAAAGTCACCACAAAGTTCAGGTAGAGCCAGATGCTGTGCTAGTGTCTATCTGTAACATAAGGAATACAGTTGCCTGCTTTCTCTCAGCAGCATCTTCATTGTCTGTATAAATGAAGAACTTGAAATAGATCATGGTTCCCAAACGGAACCTCAAAGTCCCTGCACTAGGACTGCCAAAGAAGCTGGGAGGGGGTCCTCTTCCTTTACTTCTATGCGTTTTACTCATGTGGTTATCAAACAAGGGGATACTGGCTTTGAAAAGTTTGAAGACCTCTTGAATGGGTAATTCCTAATGTTATTTGAAATGCATTTGTTTATGTGTGCATATATTTTTAAATATTTACTCAGTGCCTGTAATGACTAGGCAATGTCTTAGGTACTAAGTATATTGGTTAATAAAACAGCTATGATCTCTGCCTCATGAAACTTTCCCATTAGTGAAGAAAACAGAAATAAATGTACAAATATGATACCTTCAAAAACTGATAAGTACAACAGAAACAAAAAAAGTGGGTACTGTGTATCTGATGCAGGGAAAAGCTTCTCTGAAGAGATAAAGTTTGGACGAGACCAGAGTGGTAAGGGGAGACTTCCTTGGGCCAGTGCCCAACAGGTCCTTGAGATGGAAAAATCATGGCCTTTTGGAGGGAAGAAGGTCAGTGTGGCTGGCAACCAGTGCAAGGAGAGAACAGCAGGAGATAGGACAGGGCAAAGGGGCAATAGCCTATCCTACAGTGCCCTTGTGACTTATGAGTGAAAAGGGAAGCCAAGCAATCACTAGGACCAACAATCCATGATGACTGGCACTGAATAACATTGAAAAGTTGGGTGAAAAAGTACAAGGGGAAATATACTATTTGGACAAGTATTGTTTGCAGGCATCCTTAAGCACTTCATTTCTCCCATTAAATTCAAACATTCTATCCGAGAGAAACTTGTTCTTATTTATAAATGGCAAAAATCTAGAAAGAATAGTAAAACATGAGGTTCTTAGCCCTTCGTAATTAGGAGGTGAGTTCATGCCAAATCACTTTCTTTCAAGGTTTCCTGGGTCTCAGGAGGGCCCTGCCTAGAACACCCAAGCATTCCCTGAATTCAAGAGGCGGAATCAATGAGCCAAAGGCGCCAGAAACATGTACTGCCCAATCCTTGGGGTCTGGGCAATTAATCTCTGTCTGGTTTGAGTAAATGAGCCAAAGAGAATGAGTTTTGAAGTGACGCTAACAAGCCAGGCTTGCCAGGACCACATGACTCAACCCAGAAGGCCTCACCATCACAGAGGCCAGATGGTGGCATGACAATAGCACTAAGTGGAAATGCCTTTGTTTGCTGAGCACTTACCAAGTGGCACACAGGACAGTATCTAATACTTGTAACACCATATGGACTAAATCTAGTGTTATTCCTGCTTTACAGATAAGGAACCTGAAGCCTATAGTTTGTCCAAGAATACAGAATAGTAAGTGATACACTATTCTAGCCACTACAGGGATATTCTAATCTCCTTTTACCTATCCAGGTGGTAGCAAATGCACACAATAATCAAGCATGCCAGTAGTTGGTATTAGGGTTTATAAATATCTTCTGTACTTGCAGAAGCAAAGTCACCCTTTAGAAATGGTTAGTCTGTTCCAGGCAATGTTTCTTATGTAAATCACATAGTTTTCCACTAGACTGAGGTTCAGGGGTCAGAGCAATGTCCTGAAACAAAAGGTCTCTGTGATGGTAGCTTTGTCTTGAGCAGTGACCGCACATGCTCTGACGCATGCCTTGTAAGAGCTCCATCTCCATAGGAAAGAACCCAACTCCCAAAAAAAACCAAAAAAAAAATCCAACTCATGAGGATCAATTCAAAGGGACAAAAGTCATGAAGTGATGCTTGCATTATGGCTCCTAGGAAGATTGAAGTATTCCATGTACTTTCTCAACAACACATGTATCTTAAGCTAAGTTTAGCTGTCCTGCTTAGCTAGAATACTCTAAGATTTGACTACTTCAAAGTGTTTTAGCCCTTTGGCTTTGTGTTCTCTGTTGTAGCTACACTCCAGTTTCTGGTGAATACTGAACATGAAATCTGCTAAATTTTCCATGCCAACGCATATCTATTCTCTTATATGTTTCTAGAGATAGAATTTACATGTATTTATCTTATCAGGGTCTATCTCAGTCATTAAGAAACAATTGCAACAGTTACAATAATTTAATAACAATGATGATGACAAAATCACTGCTCTGTGTCAGACAGCATGCCAGGCACTCTCCAGCAATTCAGTGTTCACACAGTCTGATTATTCCTGTCCCAGAGACCCGAAAACTGAGAGTTCAGGAAGTGTGGTCACTTGATCACGGTGAGCCAGCTGCCGATGGGAAGAGTGCAGACAGGAACTCCCATAGTGTGTCTCCAGAGTCCAGCACTTAACTACTGACCACATGATATATGACACACTGTGGTGGTGGTGTTAGCAGCGGTGATGGTGGTGGTGGTAGCGTGATGCTGCTGCTGATGATGATGATAAAGGTAATAAGGTATCATGGGCAGCTACAGCAAGTGAGTCACTGGAAGAAACAACTTGCCTAAGTCAGAGAAAATGAAACTGAGAATGGCCTTCAGATCCTAGTCCGAGTACCCACCACTAATCCCTGGAACCAGCTGGCAGCTGACAGAGAAGTAATACTCTATTCTCTCCAAACCAACCTGAAGATAAACACCAGGACAGGAAAGTAGGTCTTTAATACAAATCACAGGGTAGTGCTATTCTAACAGTCCATACCCAGAAGCTACAATGAGAGTACAATTTAATAAATCAAAAGGGTACAGAAAGCCTTCATATGCTTTCTCTGCATAAGACGTGATTTTGCAATAAATTCTGTTCACTTCTGAGCCAATTCAATTTACATGTCCCTAGAGAATTAAGAGAAACTACACAGAGTCATTTGGATTCCCAAAATTTT